CTTCTTTACAGGTGGTTGACTGCTGAAAATGTAACTACCTTTGAAGACGTTTGCTCCTTATTCCTACTCGAAGAGTTCAAAAACTGCCTTCCAGGTAGAATACGAGTTCAGCTGCAAGACAACGGGGTCAAGTCGACTCGTCAGGCGGCCGAGATGGCTGATAATTACACGCTGAACTACAAGGATTACTATGAGACACCAATACATGAAGGTTCTCATAGACCAGCCCTGGGTAGAGCAGGCAACTTCCCAGGCCAATCTTCAGTGCAGCAGCCAGTCAAATCTGAATCGCGTGAAGTTGATGTTATCTGCTACTACTGCCAAGCAAAAGGGCACTTGGCTAGACATTGCAGTAAGCGTGTGAAGGACAATAGGGTGTACCCAATATCTTGTCTCCAACAATCGAGGGGTCACCTGGATCGTGATCTAGATATCACCCGAGGTTATGGCTGCATTGAACAAATTAGCCAGCCGGTAGATCTACACAATTCTGAGGTTTGCATCCCAATCCCAGAATACACTCAAGAAATGATAAGTGTCGAGCCTGCCCCTAAGGCCATTCACCACGCTGTGAATGCTCATGTTGGTGTGGTCGGTGATGGTATCGCCAGCCGTGACGCAATATCAGCCGAAACATTGCAGAAGTTCCAGCCATTTATCTTCGACGGATATGTGTCGATACCCGGAGATGCATCGACTCGACGACCCATAAAAATTCTACGCGACACCGGTTCCTCCTTGACCTTGCTACAGGAGGGAATCTTACCTCTACCTGGTAATTCGTTTACTGGTGACAACGCTATCTTACAGGGCATCGAGTCAAACCAAGTGAGCGCCCCTCTCCACACCATACGGCTAGACTCAGGTCTAGTTACAGGTGATGTCGTTGTTGGAGTGAGGCCGCACTTACCCCTGCCAGGGATTGGATTACTCCTGGGGAATGATCTTGCGGGACACAAGGTGTTTCCAGATTGTTTTTATGGTGAACACCCGTTCACCCAGTCCACCAACGGTAACACCAACAACCAGTACCCTTCATGTGTGTTAATTCGGACGGAAGTTAAGAAACGAGAGTCTCCGCAGAAAGTGACGGAGGATTGTAAGACATATGAAGTTTGCCAACGTGTCGGCAAACCTAATCAGGTTTCCCCTAACGCTCCACTGTGTTCTATCCCGGCTTTTGGTGAGCCTTTCACCACAGTTCTCATTGACTCAGACACATTAAAGGGAAGGATAACATAATTGCAGACATGTTATCTCAGGGATGAACAATCCAGTACGATTATGTTAAAGGATGTTTTCTTCAATGTGTATTATTATTTTAAAAAAAATGTTTTTTTCATGTGCTCGATGTTATATATCTTTGTCATGAAAACCATACCTATGTCGATATTTGATGTCATTGTATTGACTAAATTCTTACTCTTCTTTCAGCCTTCACGATGATGTTTAGAGTGTGGTAGTCCGAAATATGTTCCTAATATTCTGTAATTTATTTGATTATTGTTTTGGGCACTGTAGATGAGTAGCCTGAATTCAATTAATTCTCCATGGGGCGAATTAATTTCTTGAAGGGGGGAGGTGTTACGACTGTGGGGGCATAGATTGGAGGGGTAGGGTTGACGAGAGACGCGACCCAGACTAAACAGGTCTTGACGAAGACGATTAGCGGAGCACGTGTTGCAATTAGATTGTAATTACGGACGACGGCATCAAATGGGGGTAGGTGTAGAAGACACGTATCTAGTGACCGTAATGGGGGTAGTTTATTAGCAGGGTCTGACACTTTAATCAGGCACGACAGAACTGTTGGCGACATGTAAATTAGGTTAGACCGGATGGGGGAGACAAAGAAGTTAGGACTAGGAGGGTTGAGACAGTCAGGGTACGGCAGCTCACCAGTTAGGACGTGTAGTTGTAGATAGTATAGTTTAGAATAGGTGGTAGGATTTCTGTGTTGTATTTTGGTGGCGGTTACTTTTCAATATATTGTAACTCTGTTGTGAAGATTAAACTTACGTTGTTATTGAAAAGGTGTTCGTTATATTTAACGTGTGTTCTTGTCTACCTCCCCTCCTAAATCGAAAGATCTAGGTAGGTCGGGTCGTAACAATATATATATATATATATATATATATATATATATATATATATATATATATATATATATATATATATATATATATATATATATATATCAGGGGCGTAGCGAGGGGGGGGGGGGGGGGGGGGGTGGGGGGTGCGGACCGCACCGGGTGACACCATTTAGGGGGGTGACACCAAGGTAAAAAATAGCAAAATATATAGAGAAAAACTTGAGGGGGTGGGTGTAAATCGAAAATTTGAGGGGGGGGGGGGGGTGCAAATCGAAAACTTGAAAGGTTGTCCCCGGGAAGGGTCGCTACGCTTCTGGGGGGTGACACCATTAAGTGCCGCACCGGGTTACACCCGACCTCGCTACGCCACTGATATATATATATATATATATATATATATATATATATATATATATATATATATATATATATATATATATATATATATATATATATATATATATATATATATATATATATATATATATATATATGTATGTATTTATATACATATACATATGCATGTTATTCATGTTCAATACTCGACGCCTATCAGCCTGATCCCCCACCCCCTGGAAGAATCCCTCAATGATAGACGTGGTATTTACTTAGCTTCACTACCATCACAAAACATTTAACTAAGTTTATATCTTTAATAATTCTGATAAGTTCCTTACTTTAATTGAACTCTGTTCAGTTTGAATCAGCTAGTGCATCTATCTGACTTTGTTCCTTCTTTATAAAGAACTGCCTTGTGTCAGTGCTGTTTTTCACCTTTTTGACATTCTTATAAAACATGCGTAAATCGGTGACAATCTTTATTTGATTTTGCTATTCAGGAATGAGGTTTGCAAATTACAACATGTTGTAATGTAGGTATTTTGAACATAAGGACAGCTTGAAATAAATGCTACATTAATTGCACAATCTATTTTAGTAGCATGTTTTCAAATAACACTTCGTTATTGAGATCGAACTTTCCGGATCATCAGGATCATGAAATGTTTCGAACAGTCAGTAAAGTGTAACAGCTGCCTTCAGTCGAAGCCAAGGAAGACTAAAACGTTACTATTATTGTGTGAAGAGGGATGGCGTGATCGGGTGGTAGAGACCACAATCGCTAAATCGAAAGTCTCGAGTTCAAATCCCGGTCTTAAGACCATAGGACGTCCTTGAGTACACCCAGCTCTAATGGGTACTTGTCTCACTTTACGGAAAGTTTAAAGACGTCTGGGCATAGTGCTGACCACTGACCACACTATTCGCTCTTATGCCGTGGTCACCGAAATAGGCGAACTCTACTGTTACTGCATCATGGGCCGTCAGGTTCAAAGGGATAACTGATATAATTGTATTACTTTACATTAATTTACCTGTATATTTTTAAACGTTCCTCACCTCTGCTAGCATTAGTTATGTTATTTTTTTTTTATTAACGTTGAGTGTTAAACCAGAAAATTGAGATAAGCTAACAAGAAAATAATCACTCCAGGATCTTTTTCCATGTTACTAATACTATCGCATTTAGTTGAAGGCGTTAATTTTGAACTCAATTTTTTTCTTAATTAAAAAAAATAGACAAGGGCTGGACTAGAATTTTATTTACAATAATGATCAACATTATACCAACAAAACCAACAACAGAACAATGGTGTACATCAAGAACCCGGATGTTGCGCTAGCCAATCAATGGCATGCGCGTGGAGGAGAATAAAAAATGTCCGCTTTGATACGGTTGATTGGTCACAAAACAGCCAATCGGCGTCGAATTCTTAAAAATTATCCAACACTGTTTAAAGCTAATAAGCTAATTAGTTAGGTCTCATTTAATCAACATCGTTTAAAGCGAACTGCCCTAATTGGTTAGGTCCCTTAACACACCACTTTAGTTAGTTCACCGAGTGATGAGGTTTTTTAACCACTGGTGATTTGGCTTTGTATCCACTGGCGTAACGACGGAAACTTCCTGCCATGTAAACGTTCGGTACCGACAAACCCGTTTGGGTATGTGTGTATGTTTGTGTGTGTGTGTGTCTGTACGTTTCTGTAGCTTATGCCTGCATGAGCATGTTTGTATGTGTGTATTTTTGCACGTATATGTGTCAATGTATGTTTCCACGTGTGTGTGTGTGTGTGCGTATGTGTGTGTTTGAGAGCGTGATTGACGTCGTCCTATCATCATCAGCAGACGACAAAAAAAACGTTGGTTAGAGATGGTACTTGACACCTGCCATTGTCATTTCTGTCATGATGGCACATTGTCACGTTATGTGTGTCACGGTGACATTTGTCACGATCATCCAGCATAGTTCACGTCTGTCACGCTAGTTCGGTCGCACCAACGTTGAATTATACACCCAGCTAGCGTTGCAGCGTTTTTTATTAGGATGTTGTATGCTACAACGGTAAAATATTGATGCCAAGTTCGAGATCATTTTTTTTTTGGTATAAGTGGTTTTTACAACAAATTACCTTAACTGAATAGATAACTGTGTATAACATATTTCATTCAAGTAATCCAGAATTAATTCCCTTTACTGGAAACATTGAATGACCAAACGTTGTAGTTTCCATCAACATCAATGAGCATTATTTTGTTTTTAAATATCCGTCACCATAACCAAAACCATATCAGCTCTCAAGAGTTCGCGACCTCAAGGCCGGTTATCTGATACGTGACCTTGAATCACAAATATTCATGATTTTGATCAAAGCTCTAGTGATATTTAAATGCTCGTGACCACAAGGCGGTCATTTGATACTTGACCTTGAACCTCAATGATAAATATTTTAGACCTTGACCAAAACCTCGTGACACTCAAAGGCTCGTGACTTCAAGGCCAGTCATCTGATACGTGACCTTGAACCACAAATATTCCTGACCTTGACCAAACCTCGTGACACTCAAAGGCTCGTGACCTCAAGGCCAGTCATCTGATACCCAGACATCAACCGCTCACTGTTCAGAGCGTCGCGCGTCGAGCTGACGTTGTTCCTGACGTCATCCACCACGATGACGTCATCCTCGTGCTTGTTGTCCGTGTGGGTCAGAATGGGGTAGCACTGGCACACGCATGCGCACAGATACGTCATGCGGGCGTACATCAGACTCCGGAAGTACGTGCCGCCGGCGTAGAAGAGGAAGATGTGCGCGATGCAGTTGATGATGAAGAGGAAGTCACTGGTGAGGTAGAGGTCCTCTTTCGTCTTCTGCGGCCACTCAGGGGATTCCTGCATGGCCAGGAAAATGTTCATGGAAACCGGGTACGTCATGGTGGACAGGATCACCATTACGATGACGTAGAGCGTGACGCGGCGGGTGCCGTATTCCATGGATGCCGGAAACGACCCGCGTCGGATGTTTCTCGTCCTTGGGATTCGCGTCACCTGCAGGACAAGCAGCGCGCTGAGGGGGATCGTCCCGACCCAGGGGAGGATCCCGATGGCGATGAACCCCGGGTAGGAGAACCCGCGTTCGTGTTGGAGCACGAAGATGCAGAAGGAGGAGCCTAAAGCGGAAGTGAAGGAAAGGCACAGGAACTTAAGGCAGAACACAAAGGACATGACCACGGCCGCGCTGACGATGGTCAGGATGAGGATTTTGATGCGTTTCTTGGAGCAGATGCGTCGCACGACCAGCGGACGAACTACGGCGATGTACCGGACGATGGAGATGGCTAAGACGGTGAAGACGGACGTGCAGACGAAACAGTTGAACGCTAAGATGGCCAGGTACATGGGCGGGTCGTTGCCCATCTGGTACAGGGATCCGCTCCACGGGTAGCGCAGGACGTTCTCCCGGAAGTACCACCATTTAAAGCTGCGCACGCAGTAGTACATGAAGCTGGTCAGTAGACCCAGGTCCCAGACGGCCAGTGACGTCATGAGGGCGACGATGGGGGTCCGTCTCCTGCCGGCGGACCAGGCTAGGATGACCCCGGCGTTGCCGGCCAGTCCCAGGACACAGAGGATGATCTGGGCAGTGCGGTAACACACGTACCTGGGGAAGGGAGAATGTGTTAGTCGGTCAACCATATATTACATTCTATTAAAAGGTACACGACGAGCTAAGTTCAATAAAAAATTTTGGACCTTATACATGATATCAAACTGCCAGCAATGTAAATTAACATTAATTTCACGACTTTATATAATTACGACTAGAGAAGGTAAGGATGAAAAGGTCATGTTTTGAAGGTCATGGGGAGGTAAGTAAGGTCAGTATGTGCTAAAGGCAATGATAACATAGTTAAGACTAAAGAAGGAAGCATTTGAAGAACTTAGGTAAAACGTTGTCAACTTCAATATATCTACAGCAGTGGTTTTTAACCTGGGTTCGATGGAGCCGTAGGGTGTCGGTGAGTCAGTCTCCGGGATTCGGCGGAGGTCAAGACACACACCCGACTCATATAATTCACGATAGGATTTTTTTCAGTGGGAGGACAACACAGCTATTAAGCAGCGTTGGGTAAATGAACATGTGACACTAGTGGGTTCAGTACCTCTACAAAGGTTAAGAACCACTGATCTACGTTCAAGTCATTAATAGTGATGGTTTCACCTTGACCTCAACGACCTTACCTTGACCTTTTATCCTCGTACAGCATCATGGTGGACAGGTTGTAGGTGGTCAGGTGAGCCGAGGTGATGGTCGTCTTGTTGTGGTCGCCCCCCGCCGCCATGTACGTCGTCAGGTGACCGGAAGCGTTGGCGCCCCGGGCCTGGTCGCCCCCCGCGGCCACCAGGGGGAGGAACAGCACGACCGAGGAGTTGACCGACTTCCAGTAGCTGGCCATGGCCGGCGACCTTCACCTTGGCACCGTCGAGAGAACCCGCGCCCCCAGACGGGAATATCCGGGCGGTCGGCTGGGTGAGTGACGTAATGCCATGGCCGGACACTTGGTGTGTTTGTTCTGGTCTCAGGGTAGAGGCGGTGAAACTTAAGGGTGGTTCACACGGTCGACACCGGTGGAAGAAAGGCGAGAATGTTGACTGTGTGAAAAGGTTCGGTGGCTTGTTGAAACCTGAGTTAGTGTCGGTCTGGAGAAAGTGATCTAAGGAAGAAAAAAAATTACAGATTTACGTCAACTTACTTTTTCAAATGGATGCAAAATGTTCTGAGATTTTTTTTTTTTTTGAAATCGGGACTGACCTTCTTGTTTTAAGGGGAGATAACCTAATAGCTTTTATCAATTTTAAAGACAGAAATCTCATCACGAGTAATAGCCCTTATATTTGGGAACTAAATTTATAAATTGGAATAATAATATACATATTCATACCTTTGATATTTTAGATTGTATGTATTTATTGTTAAAGTTTGGTACATAATGAAACAGATAAACTCTGCTTCATCTGTCCCATGTGTCTTGGGCACGAACGGGAAATGATGACATAATGAGAACATTTTTCATTTACTAAAGGGAGGGCGCTCTGACTGCAAGTTTCATCGAAGAATTTACACATAAACCTTCAATGTCAACTATGTATAACAATTAGCACTGTACACATTATTTCACGGTACACAATACGCATTTGTATACGTAACATCCACGATTGAATTTTGTTTTTCTAAAAGGCACAAGTAAAGAAAACGTAATATAATTCAGACAGAAATTGTGAATCTTAAGTAATTATGTTAGTCTACTAACGTTGATGACCCTCTATCTTCTAAAGATCCAGAAAACACGTAACGAAGCTAATTTGAGCTTACTGCTCTTTGCACATGAACTCTCAGGATTAGTTAAGATACCAGTAGTATTGGCATAGGAAGGTGGGGTTCTTATGCGTGGGATGCAACCCCCCCCCCCACTCCACTTTAACAAATTCCTGCCAACGCCACTGTTCAATAGATATTCCCATCTTCACAATCTGCATACATAATTCACCTGTAAAAAAGAACAATAAACATTTTCTATGCTAAAACCCCTATTCCCCTTTCTAGTTCCACATACTCTGGTGTAACTTTTTGTAAAAAAAAACCGCGAAATTTCAATTAATTTTAGCATAAACGAGAATTATGCAATGCCGGGTTCCCCTGCCAGCACTAGAAAATCAATAAACGTCCGCCATTGTGTGGGTGTGACTGTGTGTTCCACTCCCTACCCTTCCGCGATGGTGGCTTGAGAAAGTTTCCATCTTCTGAAATAGGAGAGTTCGTGTTTTCAAATTGGATTAAAAACACGACCAAGCATTGAAATGTCAGAGACACAGCGACAAGCGGAAACAAGTAAAAGATCAGTTTCCACTTTAGTGAACTACCTCGATAAAATTCGGGGCCTTTTTTTTAAAGTTTGTTTTCAAACATTTTTTTACACGATGAAAGAAGGAGGTCTCTGGTATAAAATATCGAAATAGTACAAGCTTTAATTGATTTACTGCTATGGGACAAGGCCAATGTAAGAAGAAATGTAAATAGGAATGTAAAAAGAAAACAAGAAATTAACGAAGAAATGTAAGAAAAAATGAATAAGAAATGTACCAAGAAATGTAAGAAGAAATGTAAGAAGAAGTGTAAGAAAAAAATCAAGAAAAAAATTAACCAAGAAATGTAAGAAGAAATGTAAGAAGAAGTGTAAAAGAGAAATATAACAAGAAATGTAATGAGAAATTTAACAAAAAAGTACGTAGGAATATGACATGAAAGAAGAAATGTAAGTAGGAATGTATGAAGAAATGTAAAAAGAATATTACAAGAAAAGTGTAAGTAGGAATGTAGGAAGTAAATTAAGAAGAAATGTAAGAAGACTACAAGAAAAGTGTAAGTAGTAATGTAAGCTAAAAAACAGAAGAAATATAGAAAGAAATTCGACAAGAAATACGGCCTGAAATGCGACAGAAAATTTGAATAAAACTAGGATATAGTGGTCTCAAGGTCTATCAAAACAGCACAAACGGCACATAGTGTTGGTAAACGATGATGTGGGGGTGGAGAGTTAGCTTTAACTGTGTGCTAAAACCCAGGCTAAAATAACTGTCGTTAACAAATAACAGTTTAATGTATTTCAGTCGCCTTTAAGCTGAGGTTAATTTTAAAATACTCCATCAACACGCTGTCTCCGATCCATTAGGCCAAAGCAATATTTTATGACACTAAAATGGTTATGTCAGAGTTAAGTCAGTTAAAATAACATTTCTTAAATGCCAGAACTGAATTTTGTGCATTTTTGATTTGATACAATTCTTAGCGGTCAAAATAAATAAAGTATTAAAACAATAAAACAACGCAAAAAAAAAAAATCGCGAAAAATGAAGAAAATGGATTGCAAGAAGGGGCAATTAATATGATTTTTAAATATAATGTAAGATGATGAAGTGTTTTATAATCTAAACATACTTTACGCACCATTATACGGTTTACACAGTACATAGTTGAACAATGTTTGAAAATATTACACAAATTATAGATCTGTTGAATTCATGACAGATGAATGAAATCAAAGGAACGTAACTCTGTAGCTGCAAAACTTGAAATTTGCGTCTCACTCTAACTAAAGATGTTTTTGGCTTTAATCAGTACTTATTTGTTTTGTTTGATTGTTCTAAAAGTTGGTTATTTAATACGTTCTTATATGTTTAGTTTGATAGCTCTATAAGTTAGCAATTGAACTAGTTCTTATTTGTTTTGTTTGATAGTTCAAAAGGTTGGCCATTTAATACGTTCTGATATGTTTAGTTTGATAGCTCTATAAGTTAGCCATTGAACTAGTTCTTATTTGTTTGTTTGATTGTTCTAAAAGTTTGCCATTTAATACGTTCTTATATGTTTAGTTTGATAGCTCTATAAATTGGCCATTGAACTAGTCCTTATTTGTTTTGTTTGATGGCCGGAAAATAAACCAGGGGTGGAGCACATTAGGGTTAGGGTCACCAACTCTGGTTTCCTCTCGGCAGCTCCTGCGACACTGATGATTCCAATCTTGGGCCCATTAGGTGTGTGGAGTGTCTATGAGCAGTGCCAGCACCAGGTTATTTAGCGCCCAAGGCAAAACTTATTAAAACGCCCGCCTTTCACACAAATTAGTTACTAAAACATATGTGTAAGAAAACAATTAGTTTAAAGTGACATATTAGTAATTGATTTATTATTAATTGCATACACGTTATAAGTGGACATCAAAATCAAATTTCACTTGCCTCCTTCGTCGCAAAAATTTGTACTAATTCCTTCAATTCTTGTTTGCAAGCGTAATCACATTCTATTGAAATTGTTGCTAAGTCCACGAGTCTACTTTGTACTTTATGACATCCCCCCCCCCCCTCCGCCAACCTTAGAAAATTACAAGTTCTCCCCCCCCCCCTCCCGGGAGAAATAAGTCTGAAAAAAACCCACTGAAAAAAAACCCAATTTTTTGTGGTGTTGGGCTCTCTACAAACCTCCCAAGGTGTGTTCCAGAACGGAACTTACCTGTTTTAAGCTTGACTGTCTTTAGTTATACTTGTACAATATCTATATTGTGTGATTATGTAATGATTTTTTTATTTAAAAAAATAAAAGTTTACAAATGTTATAGGTTCCAGCCTACAATTGTTATAAATGAATCCTTTAGGAGAGGGTGAAAAATATGAAAAAGACAATTAATTAATTAGATGATTAATTTGCGACGAAGAAGATTTTTGACGCATTTGTTGTATATCTATTCACATCAAGTGTTGCAATATACAACGGCTTCTGATGTATTTGTTTTTCAACTTGATAGTGCAAGAAAACCTACCAAACTATTTTGTTTAGAACTTCTGCTCTATATATTTTTTACAATAGCAAACAATAACTTAAAGTTGTATTTATAAGTAAGCAGTTAACTTAAGGTTCAAGAATTTAAAATTTGAAATTAATTTTAAGTTAAGCAACGAATTATCTCCCATTTGGAAATCCAAATAACAAAATTTTATTCAAGGGAAATAACTTTTCACCAAGTTAAATTAACCAAGTTTAACTAAGACATGCTTTAAAAAACACAATAAACCGCTTTAAATTTCATTACTTAACAAGTATAAAAAATCTTTTATATTAGCTATGTAACCTTGTTAAAAGAATATATTTTACCAATCGACTACTTAACTGTAGGTTTTGTTTGAAAGTCTAAATACCGTAGCTTTATTATAAAATACTTCTAGTCAATTTTGATGACATGCATCTAATTGTTTTGTCAACAGGCAATCGTTTATTCAAAAATTTTGGATCCCCTAATGGGGACGTCTTTCAAAAAAATCAAATATGGGTAACTGTCTACTAAGACGTTGCCAAATTTATTGAATTATAAAAAAATTATAATTTGAAACAAATAAAGTATACGGTTAGTTATAAATTCCAGCCTATATATCATTATATACTAATACCTTAAGAGTGGATATATATATTCCTAAAAAAACTAAAGACTTTTCAGTTACAGAACGCATACCTATCTTTGTAGTGTATTCCGCCCTGAATTGAAATCATGTAACTTAAGATAAACACGACTACTCGATATACTCAACTACAGTCACAACACATATCGAACTTCGATACCTAAACATAACTAGACTCGATACTCCAGAACTACGACACCACCTCGCATAACTTCACCAAGCTCTACAAGCGATACTCCCAATCAACAAAGATTTAACTGGACCTACTACTTCACGATAACAGTCATCACACTTAATACCAGAAGACTCGATACTCCCAACTCCAGAACAACGATACCTCATCACCCACATTCTCACCTCTCTACTACCAATCAGATTCCACTAGACCTACAACTACACAACAGCCAAATAAAAATAACGAGAATTTAACACTTCGATATTTTATACC